ATCAATGAGCTTTTCGCTTGTGAAGAACAGAATACAGTTAATATCAAGAAATAACTAAACTATACTCCCGTGATATACAATAATTCATTGAAATAATATTTTTTAAGTAATAAAGAAATACTGTGTTGTGTGCTACGTATGTCGACATAAGTAGTATATGATACTAGTCGTGAACAAAATGCCTGGCAACAGAGAGACAAGAGGATCGAACAGTAAAGAATTGAAATAGAATGCAATTTGTATGAAAATGCAAGAATAATGAAGTCTGAGTCATTTTAAGACAATTGATGAACATTTTACAGATTAAGCGTCTACTACATGATTATTAGATTTTAATAACAAGTCTTGTAATTTCGTGTTAAATACATTCGATTTTCTCCACTGGTGTTTTGTTTACTACAATACTGGTGAAATGTTAATGGAAATTTTAACAATGTCAGTATACCAGAATGGGTTTTGTGAAGGTTTTTAGAAATTTCACAGGTTGAAATCATGAGTCACTTGAAGATAAACCACTATGGAAAACCTGAAAGCACTGGACGGCCGTTTCGTCCCAGTATGGGACTCCTCGGCAGTGAGCATCCAAGATCCCGCACCCCGCGGGATTCGAACCTAGGACCTGCTGGTTTCACGCGCGAGCACTTAACCACTAGGCCACTGAGCCGGCATCCAACGGTGTTGATTTCTAACTTCAACCAATCCACGAAGTTGGGCCACCGTACACCATTGTCTTCAGTGAGCTGATATCTCACAATAGACCTGGTTGAACTCCACTGGTAACGGCTTCTCACTAGAACTTCAGGAGTATCTCTTGAAGTAAGTCACTAGTGAGCAGTTGATTATTATCAGAATGGGTTTCGTGGAGATTTTTAGAAATTTCACAGGTTGAAATCATGAGGTTCTGGGTTTGAATCTCGCGGGGTGCGGGATCGTGGATGCGCACTGCCGAGGAGTCCCATACTAGGACGAAACGGCCGTCCAGTGCTTGGAGGTTTTCCATAGTGGTCTAGCTTCAATTGACTCATGATTTTAACCTGTGAAATATCAGTATACATCAAATAAATTAAAAAAAATAATTCAACTATACTTGAATAATAATAAACTGGTTAAATTGTTTGTTGAAATTTTATAGTTGGATTTATATTTTGTAGTTTTACTTTACCGACAACTAGTAAAAATCAAGAATTACTTAACAGATATTCTAACTTATTATGGGACTATTTATCAGTGTGTATTCATGATTTCACCTTAAAACGGAATTCAACATCTTTAGGTTTCTTAGTAAGTGTTTAACCTACAGATTATTGAATCAACTTTAAATGATTATTATTCTTAACTTTTATTATTATTTTTCTTAATATTATATGGAAATCTTCCATTTTGATTGGTGATGTTTATCTCGTAATCGACTCACATTTTTCATAGGTTTATTTATCATAATTGTTTAACAAATCATAAAATGACATTGAGTTCGGTAGCAATGATTTGCATATGAATTATTTAATTATCATGGACAGGGGTTCTTTTAAAACTATGAAATTGTGTTATTCCGTTTAGTTCGTAACTACAGATGATTCAACGTTTCAACTTGATAGGCTACATAGTTTGCCAGAGTATTTGTGTTTTTTTTTTCAAGGTCCAAGTGTATATTTTTAAGACATAACTTCTATTTCTTAAACACATGATCTTTTCTAATTACTGTTGAACAGTATTGTACAAGTTTGTGTATTCAGTGTGTATAATGTCTGTTAAAATGTATGTTTTTTTAAGTAAAATTTATTGTGTAAACATTCTGAATAGTTTTAAAGTTTTATATATTTCATTAACATTTTTAATTTCTCTTCTTTCCTTAGATAACTTCACCTTTAATGTATAAGTACTGTAATGAACGAGAATTCAGGTGGGGCAAATCAATTTATCGTCTTATGAAAAATTATAGAGTGCCTTCGTAAAATATGAAAATCATGCATTAAATACATCATTGGCACATCTTCTTTGAGTTGTTTATAATATACTCCATTATTCCTCTAATCCTGTCGTCATTTTTATTGCTCTTCGATTTCCTTTCTGCTCTACTCATTTCAATCTTCTGCTGTCAGGCATTCCATTTCCTATCGACGCTACATAATACGTATATTTATCAGAATAAGTAGCATGCACTACAATACTAACAAATGTTAATTATTATGTTAAATATATTGTTTCGTTTTTTATATGTCACTTTCAATCAAGCTTCATTGATTATGGTATATAACAAATGTTTTATAACATTACTAGTGTAAATTTAAGCTGTTTGCTAGCTTATGAGAAGCCTTGAAATATAATGAATTTATGTTATTCTCCAAGGTTTTTCCTTCTCACTTTATTTAGAAGAATATTAAAGACTTATTGGTGATAATGAGTATTTGAAATGATTTAATCCTGTCTAATTTGGCTTAGAAATTGGAATTATTTTAAAGTTGAGGACAATAAATTTACTTTTCCTATCCTTGATACAAAAGTATGTGACATTAAGTAACAGTTATTTAATTGATTCAATGACATAACAAACTTCCCACTTATTAAATCAAATGATAGATAAAAAACCATAATGAATCAATGACATGGTTTGGTAGTCGAGAAATAATGTAGGTTTTCTTAATACGATTATTATTAATAAGTGTCTAAACTGAGAATTTGACATCTTATAGACCAGCGGTACCCAATCATTACACTATTATAAGATTAGTTTCTTCATAGATATGAATTATGTAGAAATCTGTGGAAATTAGATGTAAAATTTTTTTCTATTAATTTATGAGAACATATTAGTGGTACTGGTGGGATATGGATCAAGATGGATATATTTCTTTAATCAGTTATTAGTTAGTAACTAATGCTATATTGTACTTTCCCTAAAACTGCTTGAGTATTATAGATCACTTACTGAGTTACCACCCAGTAAATTAGATAGATGAATTCCCTAATGGTCAATTCTTATTGATATGATACGGCTGGAATCACTAAGAAATTGATGTTTATATCAAGTATTCAATTTCTTTTTTATTCAAGAAGATCAATATTACGGTTCATACAACACAGTATTTGTTATTGTTAATTGATCTATTAGAGCGAAGATAGGTGTTTGACTCCGATAATAGATAACACAAATTCAAATCTATATATGATTATAAATCTCTCTCAAATTAAAGGTAGAGACTACTGTTTAGTGTATAACAGTAATAGGCCTAATCTTTGAACCTATTAGTTACATTCACGTAATATCAGACTGATATTGATTGTTATAACCAGAGTACTTCTTTCATGTTAACTAACGTTCAGTTGTTTTAAAATGGTCACGAACTACTGTATTTTCAAATTATTTATAAATAATAAGAACTTATGAAATGAAAAGATTTTTCAGATCAAGTTTTTTTTCACTGTTCCATCAAAAAATAAAATAAATTCATCAACCAGCATAATTTGTTTATATTAATGAGAAGAATCAAGTTTTAATTAGAATAACATTAATTTATGTATTAACAATGGGGTACAAGCTTTTAGTCAAGACATATTTTTTTGGTTGAGATCTTGAACCTATTGATGATAGACCACCGTTGAAAACCTGGAAGCACTGGACGACCGTTTCGTCCAATTGTGAGACTCCTCAGCAGTGCGTACCCACGATCCCGCTCGCTGGATTCGAACCCGGGGCCTTCAGCCTCGCGGGCAAACGTCTAACCCGTGGACATATTCCGTGTTGGGTAGAGACAGGTATCTAGCTCAGACAATGGAGGATGGTCGCGCAATTTCGTGGATCGTTTGAGGTTAGACATTAACACCGTTGGATGCCGACCGGCTCAGTGGTCAAGTAGGTTAAGTGTCCGCGTGCAATACTAGGGCCTTAGGTTCGAATTCCGCGAGCGGAATCGTGGTTGCGCGCTCCTGAGGAGTCCCACAATAGAACGAAACGGTCGCCCAGTGCCTTCAGGTTTTTAATGGTGGTCTAACATCAATCGGTTCAAGATCTCAATCAAGAACATAATAATCTCCACAACCCTATACTGATTTTTTTCTTAAAATGAAAAGAATACAAACTAATAACTGATAATAGAACTTCAATAAATATATTTTGCGCGTACTACAAGATAATTGTTAACTGACTAATTATTTCAGGAAGTTATTTAACCGTTTAATCAACTTATATTATTAGACTAACTTATCCTCTATATGATAGTAGGAAATTGTTCTGAAAAGTCATACCGTTTTCTATAGCATAAAAGTGGCTTTTGAAAAATAGACATTCATTAATTACTAGTGTTTGAGCATAGATTCCTTTGGAGTATTTCTTAGGAATATTGAGGCCATGTAGGAAGCACTACTGAGATTAGATGTAAGGTACCAGATAAAGATGGAAAAATGATTGATAAACTGTTGAGTCTTTATTTGTATTTCCTGTGGTGTTCTGGACATATATTAAGCACACCCAATTGCCAACTATCTTGATATGAGTAGTTAGATGTTGTAGCAATAAGTTGAGAAAATATCTAAGGGCAGTAAAAGTGATATATAGTACCAGTTCATGCATTTTTTTGGAATAAACCATGTAGGTCGTTAGAAACTTTATGATTAGAATCCATACAATTATCTTAACCAGTGGTTAGATACTTTAAATGATGTGCTCAGAATCATTTATAATGAAGTAGGTATATTCACTCTTCGTTCGTCCTTAGATTTCAGGTTTCCAAATTGTTTTAAGATTTCTAATTTCATGAACCATATTTCCTCCTCTACTTATTTTTTTTATGCCTAATCACTTTTATTACTGATGATACTGTTATTATTTCTACTAATCTGACAACTTAATATGCTAATTTATTATAACTTGAACAAATGTACATATGTAACAAGTTGTACGTTACATAAAATTGATTGACTTAGAACAAAAGTGAACCTTTTTGTTTAATTTTTAAATATGATTTCTCGATAAATATAAAAAAGTGATTACAAATCTTTCTTACTTTGATGGTAGTTCTTCTTCACCATCTCCTTGACCTGGCAAATCAATATGAACCCATGTCGACCGTTGCATAATTGGAAGCATTTTTGAATGTACCACAAATTCTTCGTATTGATAGTCTAAAATTAGTAAATAAAAGATGGAGGAGAAATTAAATGAATGCTTGAGTATATATGTTTACTATGTTATTTCTTTGCATTAATTTCAACAAAAAGGTAACTGGTGATGATGACACTATTCGATAAAATAACTATAGTCCATCATTAACTTCAGAATAATATAACGGAATTAATCTTAGCAACAGAACTGTAACGAATGGATTTTATAAGAGGAATTCTTAGATATTTCTCACACTTACCTTAGAAAATTGAGCGAAAAGATGAAGGCGTCGGGTCAGTATTTTTAAGAACAAGTTTATCCTGACTCTACATTCTCTATGTTAATGATTAAACATCATTTTATGTACAAACCGTTTCTTAACAACAAGGGTTATCAGAAGTTCCAAAAAAATTATACACAAACAAACAGATCACTGAAGATAGATACATTAAATGAACTAGTCCAGAACAACTAAACGTTTATTGGTTAAGCTTATTTTGGTTTGTTGTTTTATGTATCTTCCAGACAGAAAAATAACCTAGTTAGTAAATTTTTTACTCATATCTTTATAGTTAAAAGTTACAAAACATGGGTTTAAAAATAATCAGAATAATAGATATATATTTATTCAATAAAATCTCCGAAAAATGTATCCGAGATGAATCAAACATTCAATTTATGTAAATTTAAGAATCAAGTCGAATTCCATCTCTCGGCTTATAGGAAATCAGTAACCTATAGTTCCGTTTGTCTGATTAAAAGATACAAAAAATACAACTTCAATACATATTTTGATGTCATCAATATATAATAAGGTATTAACATATCTAAATAGTACAAAATAATCAAATTCAAGTAATATGTCAGACTACACAGTTGAAAAAAAGAAACAGTTTCCACCAGTAACATTTGGTTTCAACCCAATAATAAATTAAAATACTCTTGAGATATTATGGGACATTATTATTAAGAACAGAATATATGAAAAACCTATGTCGTGCAATGTTTTAAGCATTAAAAATGACAAAATAAGCAAATAATATTATATACATATTTCAAGTTTAGTGGATATTTTCAACACTACGAATCAGACCTTGTAGTTGTCTTTTATAAGTAGAAATGTTTACATTCAATTATGTATTTTTATGTAGTATAAATAATACTAGACAGCTATTTTGCTTTAGTAACAGACTTCTCATCGAGACTTATCCCCAACCACGGAAGGAATCGAACTCATTATTTTCAGATCTCTTGACAAATCCTTAACTTTCAGAATGCTTGACTAGCCTCCAACAGTTTGTATTTTTAACTTCAAACAATTAGCGATTTTGACCAACTATCTTCCAATGCCATTATTAGGTGTCTGCCTGGGTCCCAAGATGGTTGACTGAATATAGAAATCTAAACAATTGAATTCCGGATCAGTGGTTTTGAAGTTAATGCCTCGCCGAGAAACTTAAAGGTCCATTACGGTCAGTTAGACTTATGAATGTGTACAGTTAAGAGGTTATATACTAGGAAGGTACAGTTATCTAGTGACATCTGGATTCCAGCAGTTATCTAACTTACGTCAGTTTGCTTAACAGTCTTCACAAACCTTCCGCGTAAATAGTGGATAATTTAATAGACTACTAGAATTCGATCATTAGACGGGGAAAAACTAGGTATAATTGGACAGTTTTAATTAATTTTGGATTGTTTTATTAAAACCTTTAACTAGTAGCATTTAACGTTTTCAAACGTTGATGATCCCATTGGGGACTCAAATCTTACTCTTAGTACTCTGGTTTAGATAGCCATAAAACCTTAATAGCCTTAAAATTTCAGATTTAGCATATAAATATAAATACAGTTACTCAATTCTTAACAGGTTTTACCCATGAGCAAGAACGCAAAATTGACACTTTGTTAACTTTGAGTATATCATCAATTTGCACCAAAAGTTCAACAGTTTATTAAAAAGCAACTTTTTAGTATGCATATTCAATAAATATGATAAGTCTAAAGATTATTTTTCACAAATAAGTTTCAAATTATCAAGAGAAAGCTAATAATTCAACTTGAAAATAAGATTTGATTGACTTTAGGTTTCATACAAGTAATAGTTTAGGTTAAATGTAGAGTTGAAGGCCCTAATCAAAAAATCGAATATTGAATCTCACACTGGTCAGCATTTTTATCACACCTAAATGTATTTGAATTTATTTATTGAGATATTAGTTACGTCACATATCTTGAATAAACTACAAATTTTAAATCCTAATGAAAAGTTCACAAAATAAGTAGTACTTTATACAGTGATTATTTAGAAATGGTAAAAAGTTGCAATATTTGTTGAAATCACAAGAGACATTAAGAATCATTTTTGTCTCTCAAATTCCGTAATACAATTTATTGATCAGTAATGTAATAAAAACTTCGTTTCACAGTTCTCCTTAAGTTGATTCTAGACGATAAACAACCTGCTTAGACTGCACAATAGGTCAGATCCCCATTACCAACAAATATAAGTATTATTATTACCACTAATGTTATCACCACTGTATTTACAGTTTACGTATAAAGTACTGTTTCATAATAAGTAAATAACTTTTTCAACTGTTCTCATGATTAGAAAATATAAAAACCGGGTCAAAATAAAGCATTCCACGAATTATATTATTATTCTTAAGCGGGACTACGCTTGGATACATGACATAAACCTGCATAAAAATATCGATTCGCAAACTAATAAACAGTTTTTAAAAGATATCCTGTTATTGGTAATGTTATTATTATCATTGTTAGTAGACGTCTTATAACAAATCAACATTATTAACCAAAGTTTACACATGTTCACATCCATAAGGGATTCAGATAATACAATTTATAACATTTTTCTTCTGTCGAAACTATTGTATAATATAGTCTGAAAAATACGCACACACACCATAATAATAATAATCCGGTTGTTTTCTTTTACCCTAATTAGAAGAGTGTAAAAATAAAATGTGGTTCGAAATAGAGTGAAATGAAATAAAATTTATATATTAGACTGGAAACAGTAGCTGTAAAGACAACTTTGATATATATATATATATATATGAATAAGTTTATCATTTAGATAAAAACCAAAATATACGCAAATATCTTTGGAAAACAGTGGACACAAAGAAGATGATGATTACTGATAAAGACGGTGGGAATTATAGAAAAAAAGACCAAGCATATTGTATTTAGTAGATAGATCATGATGATGATATCATATATGCAGAAAATAAATGTGGAAGAATAGGCAGTGTGCAAAATCAGGTGAATGAAATTACAGTAAAAATAATTGCGCTGAAAAGAAAGGCTAAACCTATTGATTAGTTTGTTATTTATACAAAATAAAATGTATTTAATGATGATGCTTCCAAACATTACGAAGTCTTTAGAATGAATGGTAAATAAATATTCAATTCATTTAATCCGTATGTTAAGAACTTAACAGGGGATAATGTAATTATTGGACTGTAAAACAATTAAATGACATTTGGTTAAAAAGAGAGTAATAAAAATTTTATATTGTATTTTAGTATATGATTAACAGTAAAATCTGGAACACACGTTTAGTACTTTTTAGGACTCATCAGATGGATATACCTGCACCGTTGTGTTGGTATCCATACTGAAACTCAAAGTACCTATTACTTCAAACTACAGCATGTTGTCTAATGAGCTACTGAGTTCAGATAATTACTCAATTGTTCAATGAGATTTGATGTACTACTCCATTTATTCAGAATGAAAATAAAGACTCGGCAACTGATCAATTTCAATCTTACTTATCAACAATAAGACATAAATTCTTACTAAGATTATTGTACTCTTTCGATCGGGCATGCAAATTAACTCTCATTTACATAATCTTACAGCGTAGTGCAAGCAGTTTACATTTAGATAGTTGACGGAGAGCTATATGAAACTCTAATCCCGAGTGTCATGTAAACTCACTCCTACCAACGGCACATTTTCCTGTTTGTAAAAAGTTGATACTACTTCAAAAACTTTAACTTCAGTTACTTAAATTTATGTATACTTTATTGTGAAAATATTTTGATATGTTTATGTTTAAATACTAACATATTATCATCTTAATCACTTATGGTGTTGTAGTGAACAGAACACGAGTGGGGACAATCGAATGTATTGAACAGGAAATTACAGGACTTCTTAGTAAAATCTAACAATCATATAGTAAACGCTTAATCTGCAAAATGTCCATCAATTGTCTCCAAAATGACTCAGACTTCATTGTTCTTACATTTGCATACAAATTGCATTCTGTTTCCATTCTTTACAGTTCGATCCTGTTGTCTCTCTGCTTCCAGACATTTTGTTCACGACTAACATCATATACTACTTGTGTCAATATAAGTAGCACACACAGTGTTAGCTCTCTGCTGAATTACGACAGCTAAAAATTATTTACCTAGTGTAATACAAATATTGTCCGTTCAAAAACGTTAGCATGACTCCGTTATTAAAACTGGAATAAATGTATCAGTTTCAGACAAAAACTTGGCTTGTTCAAAAAAAATACTTTAATATAACCTTTATTTACGCTGTGATATTAAAAGTAGCCGACATGCAGTTCGAGTCTCATTGGGCACATCAACACTTGGATTCAGGTACATCCGACTGATGAGTTCCTGATGGCATGAAATATTCCATTATCACCCAGGCATTTAAGATATAGACAGATAAGTGAAGGTGAGGTTAAAGCAGTCATTCAATCTATATATATTAAAAGGATTGATTTTTTTTTCTGAACAATCATTCACGAATATATTCTTTGCGGGTTTACTGTAAAAACATAATATCAAAATACTGTCCAAAGTTATCTACAAGTTTGGATTATGTTAGAACAGACTAATTCGTTTATTTATTAAAAATTTTATGTTGAATCTCAATTAATTATTCAAGTACCTAAAAATAATTACAGGATTCAACAATCACCACAAACTCTCTATACTGGAGATTGTCATGTTCTTACTAA